AGACATCAATTGCTGATCTTCACCACCACATGGAAGTAGGACATCCTTCTTCATCCAGCAGCCCTTGTGCATGGTGGCAAGTGGTGTGAGACGATGTCAGGCCTGAGCTGCTAACAGCGTGGATGATGTATACCTTCTCATTAGCATGCGCATATTCAATTATACCACAATGACCTTATAATTGTCATTGGGGCTGCTGCTGAGATGTAATATCATCTTTGTTCCTTTCTCCCGCTTCCTAATGAATTGGCCAAGTGGCCCGGCTGCTGTCTTCCAGGCTTGCTGTATTTATGGTTCACTGTCGACCGTTACTTGCTTAATCCATAGACAATAAGAGTGAGCAAACAAACAGATAAAGGCTGCTGGGAGCCAAAGCTGGAGAGTCAGTGAAGAGAAAGGGACCCCCGAGCAGCCTCCTGGAGAGCTGAGAGGATGGGGATCTCTGACACAGGAGATCACATCAGAGACCTGGCCATTCCCGAGACACTGCTTTAATGGACTGTGCGTGCCAGATGAGTGCATACAGGGGGTCCTCAGTATACGTCAGGATTGCATTCTTGAAAAGGGCGACAGATACTGAAACGATGGATACCGGGGAATTTTTCCCCATAAGAAATATGGCCTACTCTGCCTCTTCCTGCCCCCCCTCCACCTCTGCCCCGCCTCTTCCTGCCCAGTTCCACCCCTCTTCTGAGCGCGTCCAATCCCTGCTCCTCCCTTTCCCTCCCAGCGCCTCCTGAATGCCAGGGGAAGCACCCAAAGAAAAGCCATGGAAAAGGAGAAGCGACCGATATGCGGATCGGGACCGACGTCAATTGGAACATGTTCCCCTATTGATGAATGACGGATACGCGAAATGATGGATAAGGGGGAGATGTATACCGGGGACCCTCTATACCAGCTAGCTTGTGTGTGCCTGGATAATTCGTTCAGGGAGCACTGCACTAGCACATAAGGCCCCCAACTACAGTACCACGGTCCTCTGACCTGGTTGCAACATGGTTAAAATGTAGCATAGATGGGACCTAACCCCATGACCAGGTTAGAACTCTCAACAGATGCTAGCTTTTGATTGGTTACAGGGACATGGACGATTCTGCCCAGCCTGCAGCTCTTAACAGCCACATTGCAACTGGGCCCCTGACTCAGTCATGGCCATAATGAAGGCTGGGCCTTTGAGAAAGATGATGCCCTTGCTCCGCCCGGCTTCCCTCACCGAGTACCTGATGTGGCCACCTGGACATGCAGACACCTCTTGTGAGACGGAGCAGAGTGAATGTACTCAGGGCGGTTTGAAATGTCATTTTCTGATAACATCTAACCAGGCTTCCTGCTCACCCATGGACCTTCTCCCCCTAGATTGTACGACAGCTGCGCTTTGTCCGGAGATGGTCTGCGTTTGGGAAGACGTTCCAGCATGCACTGGGAGAGCTAGTGGCTGCCACGCTCCTCTTCCTCCTGCTGCTCCTTGTCTATGCGCAGTGTGGATATCTGGTAGGTTATGCAGAGGCTGGCTCTCAGTAGTGGGAATGCGTGTGGAGAGTAGGATGGTCATGACTCTTACCTGTACAGGCCACTATGCAGTGAATTCCTGTATTTATCCATAGGCTTGATACAAGACGATGCAATGCGTTTGTCTCCCTGCTACTCTGCAGCTGGGCATCAGCTCTGTCAGAGGAGGACCACCCTTCCCCAGAGCTCCTCAGTCAGTCTCTCCACTGGTCCCCAAGAGAGACCCGCTCACTGCTGAGATCAGATTCTAGTGCTCATTTGCATTCACGCCTTCTGTTTTGCACTGCTCCAGCAGTGAACTGGAAAGCTCTCTGGGAGTGACCCACCCCACAAGGGGGCAAAGGGGGCTTGTGCAATGGCTAAAGATGATGTAGATAGGAAAGGGTAAAGACACCTTTCCTAGTGATAACCCCTACGTTGTCTCTCTCATTCCCAGGCCTTCTCTGCTACAGTAGAGGAGTTCAGAACATTCCAATGTGCCTTCTATGCGCTGCTTTCGGCCCTCCACGGGAAAGTGGCTTTCCTGTCTGTGATCCAGGAATTCCCCACCCTCGGCACTGCCTACGTCCTCAGCTTCACGGTCAGCTTGCTCTGCGTTGGCAGCCGTTTCCTTTGTGCTGTCATCCTTCAAGGCTACCGCACTGTCCAAGCCGAAATGTACCGCCCCGCCATTGAACCGCAGGACTACGAGATGATCGAGTTCTTCGTGAAGAGGTTCAAGCTGTGGATGGGGTTCAGCAAAACTAAAGAGGTAAGAAAGGAGGAAACCTGGGTGTAGAGCAGCCAGCAATCCAGAGTCTAGTGCTGCAGCGTCAGAGCAAGGTGAACTGAATCCAGTGCTTAATTTTGTGCCCGGCGCCTCTGGGCCTGGCCTGGCAGTTCGGAGCCCCAGCGCCTCTGGGCCTGGCCTGGCAGTTCGGAGCCCCGGCACCTCTGGGTTTGCTGCACCAGTTATGAATGCAAAAAAATTGCTTGAGCCCTGGCCCCTCTTTCATTACAAATTAAGCACTGGTTGAATGCAAAGGCCCGGTTCAGTCGAGTGCTCTCACACTATTCTACTCATGGGCCTGTACCCTGACACAGAGGGGCCACCCTCAACTCTTAGGCTGGGGGAGAGTCTGATTTTACAGCAGGGTACATCTGGATTAACGCCTTCCATGGGGTCCCTCGGCTTTACACCAGTGTTACTGAGATTGTACTCCAGTCCCCTATCCTTCCTTAACCTCTATCCTGCCCTGGAGTGACCAGCATTTTAGGAACAGAAGGGAATGTAACTTCCATGTAAGAGGGCTCACTTTCCCCCCTTCCTCTCCTTCTGGACAATAAGGCTCAGCTTTTACCCAGCTGCTATCCCTGTCTGCCTACTGGCTGCAATGGGATTGAATGGGTGTGATTTGATCCTAGCAGGTCAAGACTTGGAAGAAGCAGAGAGTGGGGCATATAACACAAAGCGATCTTGGATTGCTCCTCTCTTTGGAGAAGGGAAGGATGGCCTTGTGGCTAAGGGAGATCTGGGTTCATTTCTCTGTGCTGGCTTCTTGCCTGGCCTTGGGAAAATCACTTGCCTTAGCTTCTCCATCCGTAGAAGAGGATAATGCTTCATAGTATTGCAAGAATAAATTCTGTAGGTGCTACGAGGGGCTTGGATGTTACAGTAATGAGTCCCATGGGAAAGCCAGTCCCACTTTATAAGAAGGCTCCATTCATAAATGGTTAATGGAAGTTATAAGCATGTTAGAGAGATAAGTAGTATGTTTACAGGGTTGTAGCCATGTTGGTCCCAGGATATTAGAGAGACAAGGTGGGTGAGGTAGCATCTTAGGTTGGTGAAAGAGACAAGGGGACCTGAAGAAGAGCTCTGTGCAGCTCAAAAGCTTGTCTCTCTCACCAGCAGAAGTTGGTCAATACGATATTACCTCCCCCACCTTGTCTCTAGTATGAGGAACAGATGGCTGTAAGCAACCTGTTGGACTCTAATGATTTAAACCAAATTTTAAACCATCCATTAACCTCTCCTAAACCATTATAAATGGAACCTTAATATAAAGTGTGATGGAAAAACCTATAACTAACACTGCAGGAAAGAGCGCACTGTTGTGGCTCACGGGCCCTCTTACCCCCACCGAAGGTAGCAGCACTGGGCTCTGGGATTCTCAGGGGATTTCCTCTTTTTTCTTTGTCACTCAGTTCCGCCACAAAGTAAAGTTTGAAGGGATGGACTCCCTGATTTCACGCTCCTCCGGGAACTCCAAACGCTCCCGCCTCCTGTCTGCTGGCACCATCTTCCGCTGTGCCAGCTCCACCATCTCCTCCAGCTCCGAGGAGCTGGCCCTTTCGGAGAGCCCTGTCCCGGAGCCGTACAATGTACAGTTTTACTTGGACCGTCTACCCTCTGCTGTCAATAACCTTCTGGACCAGTTTGACCGGGTCATTAGAGTCATGGAGGACGTATGCCAGCTGGAGAGGGGTCTGGAACAGGCTCAGAAAAGAATTAATGACAACAAGAAGGGACAGAAGAGCCTGCAGGGGGAGAAGGTGACACCAGCTAAGCAGCTAGAGCTACCGAGGACTTACAGCACCTTCTCAGAGTCTGCCCTGGTCAGACTGAGGACCCACAGGGCCAAGGTCTCCAACTGCAATGCCACTGATGGGCACAAGCTGGTCCAGTGGCCTCCAGCAGATGGGATACCTCACCCAGTGGCCGGGTGCACATCCTGGCTGGTTGGCCCTCCAATATCAACTGATCTCTGCCAAAGGCTTACCCAGGCACCAGGCATTTCGTGCAAGTGGAGACCAAAGAGTGAGGAGGGGCAGGGCTGTCTGTGCCATGAAATTCCTCAGAGGCAGATCCCTTTAAAGAGAAGAGCGTGGCAAGCAGAAGGTGCTGGGAACATGTAATGAGACAAAGATAGAAATCAGGTCATTGAGGGCAGGTCAGACTCCCGTTGGAGTCTTCTCCATTTCCAAAGAGTGTTTCACTCACAGCATCTACCCTGCTGGGCAAAGGCTGTTCTTGTGAAGGACAAATCTTTGCATTAGCTCAGGCCTTCACCCCGCTCCAGCACAGTGCGCCAGAATGCCATTGTTCCCAACTCCTCCGGGAGTTCGGCAGTGGGCGTGTGATGCCAGTTGCTGGGGCAGAGCTGAATCCCAGCAAAATCATTACGTGATGGTGCTCCCATCAGAAGGGAACAATAATGGGCAGTTTCATAAGCGCCGCGAGAGAAATGATGGCTGATAATACAGTAGCACGTCCGTCCCTTTCACAGTATTAGTGCTGACGGCCTCCCCCCTTCACAGAAATGGGCTAGGCGAAAGGCAGCTGGAGAAACCACCCCTGAAGCTCTCCCCATATTGCTGCTGAGATTCCCCCAGACTGAGACTTGTCAGTTGCTTCCATCCTAGCCCTCTGGAACACTCTCCTGAATGGGCTGAAACAAAGGCAGGTGCAGGAGCTACCCTTGAATAATTCCATCCTGGGGCTAAACTCCTGGATGATTTTTTTATTGTATTAAAGTATGTGTGGAAAATGAGTTTATTTGAATTAATCACTCACACCAGCTGTAGTACACACACATTATAGACACATAAACATGCAGTGTATTTAACTACATTAAAAGATTTATTATAAAGGCAGGAATGGTTGAATGCATTGGTCTGTCCCTACAGCTGTTTTTATGTCAGCTACTTGCACCTGGCTGTCGCATTTCCTGTATTTATTGCCAAGTGCCCATTCATTCTCTTTGTGAACGGTGTCCTGTGCGCGCCCCGCTCTGTTCCTCCTGTGACACTAAAGCACGGCCATTGGAGTGGTTGTGCCGTGGCTGCTGTTCCCGTTTTTTCCAGGGTCGCTTTCTGAGGCCTTCCCTATCCTCGCTCAACGCCTTTATCTAGGAATCAGAATTTCCTACCCCGAACGACCCACTGCCCCAGCTAACTTTCTTGGTGTGACACATCATAGCAGTGTTAATACAAAGAACCCTAATCCTTCATTGATTTATAGGCCTTGCGGTTTGGGTCCCATCACTTAGAGGCAGTGTGTTTAGGGATGGCTGTTGTGTACCTCTTCGAGGAAGCCCAGCAGGAAGCTGAAATGGAAGATCTCCAACCGTCTGAGTTCCCTGTTGACTGTAAACTACATCTGTCCCTCATCCCCAGTTACATTTCTGCAGCTCTGTTTCCAGTGGGGTGAAAGCACTTGTTTGGGGAGGAGAGGACGTCATCAGAGTTTCTCTCTTTGCTCATAACTCTGATTTGGATATGATTTTGTGAAGCGTTGCAGGGCTCCAGGAGTCAGCGGGGGAAATTCATAATTCACGTCACATCCTTCAGTCAGGGAAAGGGGCTGGGCCTCATTAGCGCTTCTAGACAGGGTGAGTTACGGCTAAGGGAACCCAGCTACCGGCAGCCACACAGATCCATTAGTCTTTTGTGTTCTCAGCCCCTCAATCCAGCAAGAAGTGAGAACTGAACTACTCAAACACAGGGCAGCAGGTATCTGACACCCGTGAGCAGGAGGAAAGAATTTCCAGTGACACGCATACCAAACCGCAGGTCATTCTCTCCCTCCCTGTCCGGCACCATTTCAGGCCTAGTACAAGGAACAGTTGTAAGGTAGGAGGCTGGGTGCAGGGGTAGGTTGTTTATATGCACCCCCATATGGGTCTTTGGGAACAGCAGATTGCCCCCTGGTTTTGTCCACTATGGAGCCTGTTTCATTTTACTAATGCCCTGACACCGAGAACTCTTCTTCCCTGGAGACTTAGCAGGGGTGTGGCCTGCCTGCCTCTGGAAGAGGTGTCAGGTCTCAGAGGCACGGGTCTGTAGGTTCAACACACTATAATCCAGGGCAGGGAGGGGATGAAATGGCTCCATTTATACAGACAAGGGTTACTTATTTCCATTAGAATGTCATGTTTGACTTCAACTAGCTTCCAGACCCCAACTACAGGCTTTAGTCCACTTCACTATCACAGAGGAACAACAAAATTAGCACCATTCGAAGTCTTTCCCTCCATGCAATGTAATAAAAGTACGGGTTTTCCCCACTACGTTTCTACAACAATGTCCAGCGGCCCCAGGCCTCTTTTCAGAAAGTCAAATAATGGAGGAGGATTGCTACCAACACTTACCCTCAAGGACACCACCTCAAAATATGAGGCACTTTTTTCCCCCATCTATCTTATCAGAGCACAGTAAGCAGAGGTTCCCGGCTCAGCACTGAGCTGCCTTTGAGAATGGGACTATTTTCCCAAGACTGCTTGTCCCACTTTGAAAAGCAGTTTTATACAAAGGGTGAAACCCATTATCACTACTGATGGGGCAAGGAGGGGCGGTCAGAACCCATCCTTTCCATTTCATAAAAAGCTAAGGCTTCAAAATTTGTTTTTGTTCTAATGCAGAAGAGAACGGAGACCTTTCAAAAAAAAAAGCATGAAAACACAGCACCCCCTACCCCTCCACAGTGATTAGAGCATTTGCCTGGGATGTGGGAGACCCAAGTTTGAGGCCCTGCTCTCATTGATTCATTCTAGAGGGGTGTCTGTTCTTGACCAGAAATTCCATCCTGGATCTGACAAACCTTGCCAACTCCAGTTTTATCAAAAGTGTATGTTTCCACAAAAAGTTCTGGTTTAGACAAACTGGCATTTTTAAATGAAAAACCATTTTGTTGAAAAATTCCCAACTCCAGTGGCGATTACTGCGGTATCAGAATGCATGTTCTTATTCACCTGAGCACGAATCCTGGTTTTGAGACTTTAGAGGTGTCAACGCCACCATGCAGCAGTCAGTTCCACAGGTTTTATTTATTGCATCCTTAAAGGCTGGGTTCCAGGGGGTTAGCCATTCTCTGGTTGACTTGTAACGTAGATGGTTTTAAATAAGCATAGTAGCAGATCAGCTGCTTTATTCTTTACATCCTCTGTGCAATTTAATTTCCTCATTCACCTTTTTATGGATACCCCATCACAGCGATGACCTTTTTCAGTACCTGTACCAAGCAGCACTGAGACAGGCATTTCTACCCATCAAAAATCATCATCTGGTGAAGTCTGATGCACAGAAGTAATTTAGTACTCTCATTCCATCCTCTTTGATTTCCCGCTTTTTACATGCTGGCAGTTTAGCACATTAGTTCCTAACCTTTTAGAGATGTAATAGTTTACCATTGCTGGTTCAAGGGAAGTCAGCCAGGTGTCCCTTATGAAGTACCCACAACTCAAATTCACTTCAATGGGAGAGGAGGGCACTCAATCCCTCTCAGATCTTAGTTGTCCCGGCCTCTCCTACTAAGCTGTGCTCACACTAACCAAGAGCTGTGATGAGCTACACAACGGGTTTGAGCATGCACAGATGGATGGCGGGGCAGCTGCCAATGGTGGCACCCCAGGACTAAGCACAGAGACCAGGAGGGGAAAGCCTGGTGCCTGCAGTACCTGGAATATTAACACCTTGTCTAGCAGATCCACGGACAGCCCCACTGGTTTATTTTTTTAAATCTTGTAACCACCACTTTACCAGCCAAGGATGGCAACGGAGCTACTTTGCATACCAGATCATGTTGTCACATTGTATGTATCAGGTTGTGTGACAAAGCAGGCCAGAGTCTCTTGTGGCTCAGACTTCATTTGTGACACTAGGAACTCTGCTAAGGATGGTGGGGTTTTAGCTAGGAACCCAATCTACTCTGCTCATCCACAGACTGACAGCATTGCTGGCCAATTCACTAATGTTTATAGGCCCTGGAGGTGTAGAGAGTCCCTTCCTAGAACAGGGTAGAGGGAGCTCTGTGGCTAAAAGGGCCATTCCCAGCCAAGGTGTACTTCTATGCTTAACCTGTTAGCATCTGTTCATCCATCCCAGCTTCCAGGCACTATTTCAAAGGAATGCCACTGTAGATGCTCTGTCTGGATTGCAGTGGAAGATCACCATTTCACAGGTGGTACACCAGGTATGTGGAGTAATAACAAAGCAGTTTGTTGTTTGATTCACTCTTGGTCCCAAGCTGTTTTCCATACTTGAACTCAGTAATGTTGTCAAACTCTTCCTCCCTGGAGACTTAGCAGGGGTGTGGCCTGCCTGCTTCTGGAAGAGGTGTCAGGTCTCAGAGGCACGGGTCTGTAGGTTCAACACACTATAATTTTTCTCCTCCACATGGTTAGTTTGCTCCAGGAGCCACTGTCTCTGCTGCTCATTCACATCCAGTTTCAATGTCACCTCCTGGAAAACCCTGTTCACGGCAACCTATATACAAGGTAAGAGAACAACGCGGATCGATCTCAGGCATTAGCTAAATGCAGCTTCAAAAGGGGAGAATTCCATCTCTCCTGAACAGGCTGTACCTCACCTCCTTAAAATGAAGCTTTTTGAACATGCAGATACTAGCTTCATTTTCCTGTCCGACCTTAGCCTCAAATTTGGTAATTCCCAGCTTTGTTACTCCTACAGGAGAAGCGAGAAAAAGAGATAAGAACCCCTGGCTGCACACATGTATCTCCATAATGTTGCATTATGTCATAGCTGCAGACTGGCAAGATTCCCATGCTCCTTAAATACATGGGCTGGTATACATACACCACCCTCTCCACATATGCAGAGCAGACAATGGGAGCACGTGTGCCTGTGTCTCCCCATCACATCACTTCCGTCCTCCCACATTTAGCCATCCTTACCATAAAACATCATGATCAGAGTTGTCTCCTTGCCAAACCCTCGGCCACGGCACCTGGGCTCTAAAAGAGACAAGAACAGATGGTGGTGTCCATCTATATAACACAAACCCTGTAATCAGTCAGGTGCTGGACTAGCAGAAAGGGGGTTGCAGAGGAGGACTGAATTGCACTGGTAGAGCTCTGAACGCAGGAAGCTTGTATGTTATCTGCCTGCTTTCCATCTAGCTGTAGCCAATGCTACCTCTGTCAAATGAGGAGAGTCGTCAGAATCCCCCTGAACCTATTTGCATGAAGGTGCTTTCGTACCTAACAGCTATTGCAGGGCAGAGGGTGGCATTAGGGTGATAGTGGCGGCAGCAGCCTGGGGCTGTGCTTAATATACCTGCAATCATGACTTCAATCTCTCCCACTGTTGGATCCTCCATATCTGTGAGGAACAGGTTCACGTCCCCCACCATGCAGTCCTCCTCGGTACCTGCTTGCCCTGACCACCTCTCAGTGTCCAGTACAATAAACGTGCATTCTGTGGAAAATGAGACAGCAGCAGAACTTACAGGGTATGTTTAAGAATCATTCACAAATTACTGAAGTATGACAGTAAAGATGGACAATGGACAGAGAAGCAACAATGGGCAGAAAAGCAACATCCTGCACATATTAATAGCCTGTATGACCAGTAATCAGGGCTCCTGGGACAGACAGGCATGCTTACCACGACTGCCAATACCAGCAGCACCCTGGAAAATCTATGCTGGTTTCAGTTTGCATGGACCCAGGGCTCACACAGATACTTTAACTTGATGCAATATATAAAATTAATGTGGATTAGCTTTCCCCACTTCATCGCCTTTTACAGTAAATTCAGGCAAAGAACCTTGAATGTGAACATAAGAGACTGAAGCAACCTGTTGAGTCACTCAGTCTATCCCCTCTGCTCCTTTCAGTATGTCTTCCCGTGCTGTCACCACTGACCAAGACAAGGGTTAACTGTGGGTATGTCCCACCCTCAGTGTCTTGTGACTATACATTTGTACTAGATTTTATGGGCAGTCACTCACCCGACCTTTAATAGAGCCTGGCAAACAATCCAGCCAATGAATCCAAACCTTGTCATTATAAATTGTCAGATTCCACGGGGAGAACTCAACAATCTGATTAAGCACGTGGATTTTAGAGCATTTAGAACAAAACTGGAAATTAAACAGTAAGCTATTCTCACCCTTAACTCTAGGGGGGGCTACTGCCCTGCAATAATGGCTCTCACACCCCTTACAGTACAGGCTTGCAGAATCACACCTGCCAGAAACTCCTAACAACAGTGAGACGGAAGTGGTCACTACACCTTCCCACTTTTGCAAAACATTCAAATGCCTCACTATCTGCATCCTCCTGCCAGCTGCGCTGCATCTCGTACTCCTGCTCCAGGCTCAGTGGCTCGGATGCGGTCAGTCGCTGTAGCTCCTCCGATTTCATCCACTCATGGTACCTGATGGAGAGTGCCACAAACAGAATGCAGACCTATTTAGAACGTCACCTGTTGTGTTCCACTGAAACCTTTAAGGGTCAAACTGTCCCCCTACCATGAACCTATTCAGGAGACTACAAATGGCTATAAATGCCCCATTGGCCAGGGGCTGCAAGGCTCACTTAACTTCCTGAAACAACACCAGAATCAGTACACAATCTCCTTCACACAGGCACACAAATGAAGGGACTAGTACAGGCGTGCGTGACGCCTCACCTTGAGTCTGCTTTGCACTGAGAGTGCAATCATCCAAGTCTGCAGTTTACAAACTCATGGCTTAACATTTAAATTCTTCAGAGAGTTCAGTTTTCATGAGTTGAAGTTTCCCTGTTCACAAGCGATTGGGAAAAGGTTATAGCGAGCACTGAAACAGCAGCACAGCCGATGGCTGTTTGGTGGCCAACGTGAAATGAGCTAGTGGGTCCAGCTCACTTCTAACTGGACAAGAGTCCACATGGATAAACAAACATCACCACTGACACTTGCTGTCCGTCTTTGATGACAGTCTCGGCAGAGGGCTCAAGGACACCGAGCTGCCCTCTCACACCTAGAGGTGGCTGCTACAGAGCAGAACCAAGGAATATGGGCAAGCCAACATAGGCAAAGCCATACTGCTGCCGCTTGTGCTGTGCCACTTACACAGACAATGAGATCATTTCAGTCCCCAGGGCTGGTAAGCCAGAGCCTTCCATGAGTGATAAATTCCCTTAAAAAATAAAGTTGAATTTTAAAAATAGAAACTGTCATAAATATAAAGGGAAGGGTAACAGCTGTCCCGTATACAGTACTATAAAATCCCTCCTGGCCAGAGACTCCAAAATCCTTTTCCCTGTAAAGGGTTAAGAAGCTCAGGTAACCTGGCTGGCATCTGACCCAAAGGACTAATAAGGGGACAAGATACTTTCAAATCGTTGGGGGGGGGGGGGGGGAA